AAAAAAAAAAAAAAAAAAAGAAATTTACCTTTAACATTTGCCTAAGTCTATGTGCCTTCACTTTAATTTGAAGCTAGACTTACAGTATGGCTCATTAAATGTTTTGGTTGTAAACCAGGTGTGGTGGCTCATGTCTGTAATCCTAGCACTTTGGGAGGCCGAGGTGGGCGGATCACAAGGTCAGGAGTCAAGACTGTCCTGGTCAACGTGGTGAAACCCGGTCTCTACTAAAAATACAAAACATTAGCCAGGCGTGGTGGCATGCGCCTGTAGTCCTACTACTTGGGAGGCTGAGGTAGGAGAATCATTTGAACCTGGGAGGTGGAAGTTGCAGTGAGTCGAAATCATGCCACTGTACTCTAGCCAGGCAACAAGAGCGAGACTTCATATCAAAACAAAAAAAAAGTTTTGATTGTTTGATGAATTGAAACATGTATTAGCACAAGTGTATTTATTATTGCAAGGCACAATACCTAAAAAGGTTTATTGGAATAATTAAAATATGCATGTTTCCTTTAATTGATGTTTCCTTTTTTTTTTTATAGGACTTCTGTAACGATAAAAGTTATATTTCAGAAGAGACAAGAGTACTTCTGTTAACAGGAAAGGTATTGTATACTTTAATAATTTTGAGATCTTTGTTTCATGTGTATATTGCTTCTGCTATTCCTAGAAATACCTCTAAATGACCACTAGATTGTACAGTTCCTGATTCTTGGGGATCACATTGTGGATTTATAGCATCTAAAGCAGCCGTGCTTTTAGACTTTTTCTGCCAGGAACCACTCTTCTGAATTGCCACTGTGTGTTCTCATCAGTAACGTTAAGCACAGTTTATTTACAATTCAGGAATTAGATTTCCCTGGGAAATGCTATAATCAATTTAGGTATATAAAAGAAGTAATTTTATACTACTAATGAATTAGGCGGTTTATTTTCTATGTAAGGAATATGGTGACACCTAAAACAGCAAAAGGAAATTTAGTTTTTTGTAAATAGTTCCTAAATTATTACTATGTATATATCCAATAGTTTATAGAGCATTTATTATATATTTTGCTGTGTTTTAGGGGAACTTTTTATTTTGATTGAGTAATAAAGGATAAATTAATATTACCTAGTTATTAAGTAGAGATATGTTTATGGCTTTTAATTGTATTAAGGCAGTTAAA